GTGACGATTTCTCCAAGCTTCAGCTTGTACAATATTGTTGTCTTACCTGCAGCATCAAGACCCACCATAAGGATACGCACCTCCTGCTTGCCCATGAGCGACTTAAAGGCAGACGCTAGCCACTGACCCATCCTGGCTTGTTACCTCTTGCTTATGTCCCTACTGTTGTGTTCGGCTTCCTTCGAAGAGCAGAGGTGAAGGGGAAAACCGTTTTAAAATGTGGAGGAATAAGACCTTCGTGTGCACGCAAAATAAAACTATCATCCACTGCAGAAATGACGTTTTCACCCTCTTCGCGCTGACACGTTCGGCAGAAAAAAAAAAGAAAATAGATATTTATGTCAATCCAGGAGTTCTTGCAGTCGAGCAGGCACTTCGCATGGGGTTGGCCAGTTAACGGGAGGTGGCAAACCTGCGAATAACTCGTGCTGCAGCACCTCCTTCGCACTTGAGCGTAGGTTGAAGTTAAAATGGAGCAGTGGCCTCACCATGGATATCCAGCGTTCCGCCTCCTCGCTTGGTCCCGCAACCCTCATGCGGGCGCTGATGGATGCATCATGATGAAGGCCTAAGAGATACTGCGAGACGCGCTCCGGACACCCAGGCGGGATGTCGTCTGCGCCTAGCCGACCAATTCCCTTTACTGTTTCACTTAACTGCTGCTTGATAAGCTGCGGCTGAAAATTGCCATCTGCGCGCTCTAGCGAAAACGCAGCAGAGCCAGTGTACACTTCGAACAAGAGACAACCCAATGCCCAGCAGTCCACTGCTCTAGGTTGAATGCCACTGAGTTGAAGAACAACCTCTGGGGGCCGATAATTTCTCACGCATATGTAGGAGTTAGTGCAGTTGGGGGATGTGGTGCAGCTGCAGAAGTTCGTGATCTTAATAGTCGGATCGGGTTCCAGTTCGACCACCACTGTGTCAGAGGAAAGAAACTGATGACCCACACCACAAGTGTGAAGGAAGTCGACAGCTCGAGCGAGCTGATACGCCAATGACACCTTGACATCGCTGCGACGACTGTGATCCAGCTGCAGATACTGGTGCAATGTCACGCTATGCGTGGAAGATGGATATGAAACAAGAAGCCTAAGAGGTGAACTTCCACTGATTTCTTTTTCACTGCCTCTTCGATCCGCCTCCTCGTACGCCCGCACAATGGGGCGAGCAAGGTAAGGACACGTGGTCTGCCGAAGAAGTGAGATAACCGTCAAGATGCGCTGTGTCTCATTGGGAGAGAACTCCCACACCTCGTCGTTCATTAGGGACTATCGCGTATGTTCAGTAAGGGTAAGAGAAGCGAGAACAAAAATGTGCAACACACGCAGACTTCCCATTTCCACTTCTTATTCCTGCGCACCATGATGGTTTTTGCTTAAAAGAGTGACACCCAGCCCCAAACTGCAATGGCGACAACAAGGCGTGTGCACATAACCCTTTTTTTTCCTTCAAATTCACATGCACTTGCAAACAATTTTCTCCTTCCTCTTCCCACTTACCTCTGCATTCCTCAGCGTGAAGGTCTCCCTTTTCTGGCATCACCATCTTTCTGCCCTGCTTGGTCCCGTTGTTGTTGTTGCTCACCTTGTCTGGCAGCATTCTGGGCGATGCACATGAGAAATGACGTGACACTAACGTTCGACGGCATCGCGCCGTCCAAGAATGACGTGGAGAGGCACTCATGCGTATTCTTCCGGCGAAGCATGATGGTCATCAACTGCGCCGCCCACTTCACTGGAGATTCTTGTACAATATCGATGGGATTCACGCATCCACCCTGCGCAATTGTCTGTGGTGGGAGGTACTTTTGCATCCTCGACGCGTAGAACTCCGGGTCCTCGCGCAGGATCGAGTGAAGGCTGTGGGAGGCGAGAAGATCGACAAGGTCGACATCCTGAGCGAGCCCCTCCTCCCACACCTCCCCCAGCAGCTGTTGCAGGGTCGATATTGTTATCTCTCGTGGATTTCGCGTGGAATCCGAAACATGACGATATTTGTATAAAATGTACTCAACCCGTTTCATCACTAAATCGTCCAGTTCGGTGGAGATGGACTGCATCCAAAAGAAAAATAGTTGATTTCCATTCTTTACATCAAATAGCATCACCCTTCCGGTGTTGCACTTTTCCACCCAAGAGACCTTCACTTTGTCGGGTGGCAGAAGCACCCGATGCTGCTCTTCACCATCGTCAGAGCTCCACACCAACTCCACGTTGTGCATCAGCGGATCGAGCAGCAGGAACATATATCCTCTCTTTGGCGACGGCCGCACCATACCGTCCTGCAGAAACATTCTACCCGCCCGAACCTTCATGGCTACACGGCTAGCGGTATTGCTGGGCTGCAGTATGGCGTCGATGATCGCCTTCTTTGCATCCATAATTTGGATTATACCACTTGGCCAGTTACTCCCCCTTGTTCCCTTTCCTTCCCACCAAGAAAACATTATAGGAGGAAGACCAAAAAAAAAAAGGCAGACACAGATAAACAAGATAGAGGCTAATTTCTCTCTGAAATACAGAAGCTGAAGGGGAAGAAAAGAGAACAAACAAGAAAACAACTGCAGTTGCTGTATGCATGTGAGATCGCCTCCTTTTCACTCGCTTCCTTTTCACCTCCGCATCCTCTTCTTTCTTTACGGATAGGGCGCCATGAAGCTGACATCCGGAACCGACTGCTGCGGCGACTTCTGCCAGCTACTATGCGCGTGGAGGCCTTCGTTCATATCGTTGCGGCGAATTGTCTCTCGCCAGATGCCGAGGCGGAAGTACTTTGTGTTCTGCGAGAAGCGCCACGGAGTCCCACTGCGCGGGTTGTACCCAACAAACTCTGTGAGCTTCGGTCCCCGCTGTAATTCGTCGATAAACATGTACCTCATCCGTGTCCAGGGCCGAGGAACTAACGGTGACTCTGCGAGCCCACACTTCATGCCGTAACGCTGCAATGTTGCGCGGACTGGCTCGTGCCGCCTCACATTCTGGCTGTTTGGTAGTTTGTTGTAGAGCAGCCCACCAGGGCGAAGCTCGCTGAACAGTGTGCACTGCTCTATGGCGTCCATACCAAGACGCAGATCCCACTCATCGCCCTTCCCTCGCAGACCCCAGGTATCGTCAGACACAAAATACGGGTTCAGCACTACCGGGGTACTTTGTCCCATGATGTACAGCACAACAGGCCCTGCTCGAATCGCGTTTGGAGCTGGCGCCGCCACCGATGATGATGATGGTAATGATAATGGACCTTTTTTCGCAGCCTGACTGCCTATTTTACTGTTGGCTGCAGCATACGCTGGTGGCACGTACACCGCCTCCTCCGTGTGGTATCCCTTCCGCAGACGCAGGGACGGGCTGCGCAGCTGCTCTAGCCAGCTCAGCGGCAGAACTGTGCAAAGAACGGCTGGATCCACAACGGCATCCTCCACGCGGATGGAGCGCGAATGATCCCGCGACGTAATTTTGTATTCAACGAGCATCTCTCCACCCTTCATGCGGAATGAGAGCAAACGCGAACGCCGCAACATTGGTCCCAGACCTCCGAGACTCTCTTTCTACTTTTTACCCCCACAAACTATATATATATATATA